TTTAAGAAGAGACTGGACAGCCGTTTGTCTGAAATGGTATAGGGTTCCTGCCTGAGCAGGGGGTTGGACTCGATGACCTCCAAGGTCCCTTCCAACTTTATTATTATTATTATTATTATTATTATTATTATTATTATTATTATTATTATTATTATTATTATTATTATTATTATTATTATTATTATTATTATTATTATTTGACATCCGTTCTTCTTGTATGGGGACTTCAACTTCTAATTGGCTGAGAATTCTGGGGGCTGAAGTCCAAGGCCTCCTGGAGACATCTGATGAGGAACCACCTGACTGGGCTACTGACCAGTTGAGAGCCATTTGGGTGAGATCTCTCCAACTTGATTGCCAATGAAGGCCTCCATCATGTGTCTCCTCCATCTTCTCTTCTGCAGACTAAGGTCCTCCTTTCACCTTGCTTGACCGAACTTGGAACCATCTTGGGTGGATCTTCTCCGAAGGTGCTCCCCAGTTTGATGACATCCTGTTTCGATTTAAGGTGTCCAGAACTGGACATGGAACGCCAAATGGGATCGGACCAGGTGAAACAGAACGGGACAACCGATTCCCGTGATCTCTTGTGCTTTATGTTCTTCTTGATAATCCCGAAATAGTATTTCTCTTTTTGGCTGAATCAGCCTACTGGCTCACCTTGGTCACCCTTGTGACCTAGTCCGTCAGGAATCTAGTAGCCCCCGTTTCGATGAACAAACGGCTCGCTCCCCAGTTATCTTCCCCTTCGTCCATTTCCTCGACCCATTCCATTTTTTTCTTCTTTTCCATGTTTCAGAAAGGCCTCGGGATATCTCCGCGTGTTGCTTTAGGCCTTTCCCATTTTGCCTGTCAGTAGGAGGTTTTTTGTGACTTTTTTTTTAACCCTTCTTAACTACAAGAGCGCCAAAGAATGGAGGCCTTTGAACTCTGGTGCTGGAGAAGACTCCTGCGAGTTCCCTGGACTGCAAGGCGATCAAACCGGTCAGTCCTAGAGGAGATCAACCCCGACTGAAGTTGAACCCCCAGATCCTGAAGTTGAAACTCAAGTCCTTTGGCCACTGAATGAGAAGGAAGGACTCCCTGGAGAAGAGCCTGATGCTGGGAAAGATGGAGGGCAAGAGAAGAAGGGGACGACAGAGAAGGAGGTGGCTGGATGGAGTCCCTGAAGCAGGAGGCGTGAGCTTCAATGGACTCCAGAAGATGGTAGATGACAGGAAGGCCTGGAGGAACGTGGTCCATGGGGTCGCGTATGGGTCGGACATGACTTCGCAACTAACAACAAACTACAAGTAACCCTTGACTTTGGTTTTGTGAACGTCCGAAGTCACAATTCCCCCATGCTGGCTGGGGAATTCTGGGAGTTGAAGTCCACAAGTCTTAAAGTGGCCATGTTTGACGGTTCCTGTATTAGATCTTTATCCCTTCGAGGTAGGCCAGGTCAGGAAAAACAGACTTTAAAAGGACCTTATGGTTTTAGGGCCTAATAACAGGACCTTGAGCTGCTCAACTTTCCTTTTTGCCCCCCTCTTATACCAAAGAGAATCAAGGTGAGGTTCTCTTGAGTTTCTTCCTTCTTCTTTACCAGAGCTGAGATTTCGATTCCAGTCTTTATTAGCGGCTTTTGTACAGTTAGTCCTCATCTTACGATCATTCTCTTAGTGACCAAAACTCAAAATTACTATGGCACTGAGAAAAGTGACTTACAACTGATCCTCACAGCAGTTCTAGGCCTGCCTCTGGCATTGAACACCGGATGAGTGACCGTGGGCCAATCAGCAGGAGGAGTTGAGTTCTAGTCCCACCTTAGCCATGAAAGCCAGCTGAGTGAACTTGGACCAATCAGCAGGAGGAGCTGAGTTCTAGTCCCACCTTAGCCATGAAAGCCAGCTGAGTGAACTTGGACCAATCAGCAGGAGGAGCTGAATTCTAGTCCCGCCTTAGCCATGAAAGCCAGCTGAGTGGACTTGGACCAATCAGCAGGAGGAGCTGAGTTCTAGTCCCGCCTTAGCTATGAAAGCCAGTTGAGTTGACATGGACCAATCAGTAGGAGGTGTTCTAGTCCTGCCTTAGCCATGAAAGCCAGTTGAGTGGACTTGGACCAATCAGCAGGAGGAGCTGAGTTCTAGTCCTGCCTTAGCCATGAAAGCCAGTTGAGTGGACTTGGACCAATCAGCAGGAGGAGCTGAGTTCTAGTCCCGCCTTAGCCAGGAAAGCCAGCTGAGTGAACTTGGACCAATCAGCAGGAGGAGGTGAGTTCTAGTCTGGCCTCAGCCATGAAAGCCAGCTGAGTGAACTTGGACCAATCAGCAGGAGGAGCTGAGTTCTAGTCCCGCCTTAGCCACGAAAGCCAGCTGAGTGAACTTGGACCAATCAGCAGGAGGAGGTGAGTTCTAGTCCCGCCTTAGCCAGGAAAGCCAGCTGAGTGAACTTGGACCAATCAGCAGGAGGAGGTGAGTTCTAGTCTCGCCTCAGCCATGAAAGCCAGCTGAGTGAACTTGGACCAATCAGCAGGAGGAGGTGAGTTCTAGTCTGGCCTCAGCCATGAAAGCCAGCTGAGTGAACTTGGACCAATCAGCAGGAGGAGCTGAGTTCTAGTCCCGCCTTAGCCACGAAAGCCAGCTGAGTGGACTTGGACCAATCAGCAGGAGGAGGTGAGTTCTAATCCCGCCTTAGCCACGAAAGCCAGCTGAGTGCATTTGCACCAATCCCTCTCTCTCTCTCTCTCAGCCCAACCCACCTCACAGGGTTGTCGTTGTGGTGGGGAGGAGAGGAGGAAGAAAGAGGACGAGAGGTGTTTGCCCCCTTTTAGTTGTTGATGAAAGTAACGAGCAAATAAAACGAAATAACTAGGCGCTCACCGAACTGCTGGAGGAGTACAGGCGTGGCCGCTTGGCTCTGCGGTGAGGGCTGGAGGACACTTCGGCGCCCAGGCCGCAGACGTCCCCGTGGCCCATGCTGCGGGTCACCGGCCGGCTCCGGGTGGTGGGGCTGGCGGCTTCGGCCTCGGGGCGCTCGCTGAAGCTGTCCCCGCCCCGCGTGCGGCTGGCGACCGGGGAGGGGCTCTTCTCGTGCTGCAGGAAAAAGGGGAAAAGAGACCACAGAGAGGAGAAGTCAGTGGAGATCGCCAGATCCTTGGGTCAGGAAGCCCTGATAAGTCCTCAACTTACAACGCTTCGTTTAGGGACTGTTCAGAGTTACAACGGCGTTAAAAAGAGAGACTTATAGGCCCGTTTTTCACACTTACGACCACTGCAAGATCCCCAGGATCACATGATCGAAATTCAGACATATGGCAACGGATTCACACCTATGATGGTTGCGGCGTCCCTAAGGGGTCACCTGATCCCCTTTTGCAACGGGGGAAGCCGGATTCACTTAACCGTGTTAATAACAACTGCAGTGATTTGCTTAGCGTCCATGGCAAGACAGGTCGTAAAATGGGGGCAAAACTCACTTAACAACTGTCTTGCTCAGCAACGGAAATGTCGGGCGGATCGGGGGTCGTAAGTCAAGGACTACCTGGAGAACCCAGAAGCAGTTTGGCCGTTCGATCCTGACCGGCTCAAGATTGACTCAGCCTTCCGTCCTTCCGAGGTCAGTAAAGTGAGGACCCAGATTGTTGGGGCGCAAGAGGCTGACTTTGGAAACCGCTTAGAGAGGGCTGTAAAGCACTGTGAAGTGGTGTATAAGTCTAAGTGCTATTGCTAAGGGACAAGGATGAAAAGGAGAAGGAAGGAAGGAAGGAAGGAAGGAAGGAAGGAAGGAAGGAAGGAAGGAAGGAAGGAAGGAAGGAAGGAAGGAAGGAAGGAAAGGAGGGAGGGAGGGAGGGAGGGAGGAAGGGAGGGCCCTGGTGGCCCAGTGGGGGCTAAAACATATAAGGAACGGCTACTGGAATAGGGTATGTCTAGTTTAATGAAGAGAAGGACGAGGGGGGACATGATAGCAGTCTTCCAATATCTCAGGGGCTGACCCAAAGAAGAGGGAGTCAAGCTATTCTCCAAAGCACCTGAAGGCCGGACAAGAAGCAACGGGTGGAAATTAACCAAAGAGAGAAGCAACCTAGAACTAAGGAGAAACTTCCTGACAGTGAGAAGAATTAACCAGTGGAGCAACCTGCCTCCAGAAGCGGTGAATGCTCCAATACTGGAGGTTTTTAAGAAGAGACTGGACAGCCATTTGTCTGAAATGGTGTAGGGTTTCCTGCCTGAGCAGGGGGTTGGGCTAGATGACCTCCAAGGTCCCTTCCAACTTTATTATCATCATCATCATCATCATCATCATCATCATCATCGTCATCATCATCATCATCATCATCATCATCATCATATGTTAAGGGGAAAAAGAGAAGAAATATCTGATGATGTAAGCCGAGATTTGCACTAAAGATTTTGTTATTGAACTATGGATTAACCCAGTTGCCGCGTTGCTTTTTAAACACTCAAATGGAAAATTAATAAAATATTATATATATATAAAAAAGGCGGGGCCTCCAGCTTCACGCGTGTACCTGCTCCAAGCCCAGGGGGACGTTGGTGTCCTGGCTCCTGGTGATCATCCGGCGTGGGGAGGTGGGCCCCAGAGGGACCTTCTCAGCAGTGGGGGCAACGGCGGAGGGAGTCCCCGTCTCGGACTCGGTGGTCTCCAGCTGCTGAAAACCCCACAGCCCCACTCGCCTGATGCAGCGGCAGCAGCTGATCAGGGGCAGGTGGACGGATCCGGACGGAGGGCTAGGAAGAAAGACACCCCCCCCAAAAGAGTAAATCAGAGACTGAAGCAAATTCCCTTCACGTAAAGCAGAATTTAAATGTTACGTACAGGTGGTCCCCGACGTACAACCACAGCGGAGCCCAATTTTTTTTTCTTACCAAGCAAAAACTGAGTTTTGCCCCATTTTACGGCCTTTTACTCCCACGGTTGTTAAGTGAGTCACTGCAGCTGTTAGGTTAGCATCGCTGCTGTTAAGTGAACTTGTCTTCCCTGCTGGACGCGGGTTCAAATACAGTTACGACCACCGTCTAGCCCAGGGCTAGGCAACCTTGGCTCTTTTATGACTGGTGGACTTCAACTCCCAGAATTCCTGAGCCAGCCAGGCTGAGGGGAAAGGGAGAGGTTTCCAAGCTGAGCCATGCTGGCTCAGGAATTCTGGGAGTTGAAGTCCCCAAGTCATGAGGGGGGCCAAAGTTTCCCTCATGCTGGCTCAGGAATTCTGGGAGTTGAAGTCCACCAGTCATGAGGGGGCCATAGTTCCCCCCTGCTGGCTCAGGAATTCTGGGAGATGAAGTCCACGACTCATGAGGGGGCCATAGTTCCCTCCTGCTGGCTCAGGAATTCTGGGAGTTGAAGTCACCAGTCATGAGGGGGCCATAGTTCCTCCATGCTGGCTCAGGAATTCTGGGAGTTGGAAGTCCACCAGTCATAAAAGAGCCAACGTTGCCTAGCCCTGCCCTAGGCTGCTTTATGACTCGTAGACTTCAACTCCCAGAATTCCTGAGCCAGCCATGCTGAGGGGAAAGGGAGAGGTTTCCAAGCTGAGCCATGCTGGCTCAGGAATTCTGGGAGTTGAAGTCCACGAGTCATAAAAGAGCCAAGATTGCCTACCCCTAGTCTAGCCCAAATTTACTGTCACTCAGCGGAAGATTTGTTTGGCTCCTTTTGCGACCTGTCTGTACTACGGCTGTTAAGTGGATCGTCGCAGTTGTGAAGCGAGTAACACCGTTGTTAAGTGAATCTGGCTTTCCCCATTGACTTATTAGAAGGTCGCAGAAGGGGATCACGTGAGCCCCGGGACGCTGCGACTGTCATAAATAGGAACCAGTCGCCCAGTGTCTGGATTTTGATCACGTGATCACGGGGAGGCTGCGACGGTTGTTAAGGGTGAAAAACAGTCACAAATCACTTTTTTCAGTGGTGTTGTAACCTCAGTCACTAAATGAACTTTTTTAAGTCGAGGACTACCTATACTGGGTTCAAAGAGAGCCCTTTTTCAAGGACAGGTTGATTTACACCACGATCGAGCCTGGAATTAGAGTTGTACATTGCGTTGTAAGTCAACATAACAGCACCTGATTTTACAACCTTCCATGTGATGTCATTAAGCGAAGACAGAGGTCATAAAGTGAACGTCAGTTGTCAAAAGAGAATTGTTATTATTAGTTGCAAAGTGGTATCTGACCCATCGCAACCCCATGGACAACGTTCCTCCAGGCCTTCCTGTCCTCTACCATCTTCTGGAGTCCATTGAAGCTCACGCCTCCTGCTTCAGTGACTCCATCCAGCCACCTCCTTCTCTGTCGTCCCCTTCTTCTCTTGCCCTCCATCTTTCCCAGCATCAGGCTCTTCTCCAGTGAGTCCTTCCTTCTCATTAGGTGGCCAAAGTACCTGAGTTTCAACTTCAGGATCTGGCCTTCTAAAGAGCAGTCGGGGTTGATCTCCTCCAGGACTGACCGGTTGGATCGCCTTGCAGTCCAGGGGACTCGCAGGAGTCTTCTCCAGCACCAGAGTTCAAAGGCCTCCATTCTTTGGCGCTCAGCCTTTCTTAGGGTCCAACTTTCACATCCATACGTTGCAACTGGGAAAACCATGGCCTTGACTCTACGCACTTTTGTTGGCAGGGTGATGTCTCTGCTTTTTAGTGTGCTGTCTAGATTTGCCATAGCTTTCCCCCCCAGGAGCAAGCGTCTTCTAATTTCTTGGCTGCAGTCCCCATCTGCGGTGATCTTGGAGCCCAGGAAGATCAAATCTGTCACTACCTCCATTTCTTCCCCATCTATTTGCCAGGAACTGAGAGGGCCGGATGCCATGATCTTGGTTTTCTTAATGTTGAGTTTCAAGCCAACTTTTGCACTCTCCTTCTTCACCCGCATCAAGAGGCTCTTTAGTTCCTCTTCACTTTCTGCCATTAGAGTGGTATCGTCTGCATATCTTAGGTTGTCGATATTTCTCCCGGCCATCTTAATACAGCGGGGTTTCGTTTTTGTGTTTTTTTGCCAGAAACTAGAAATAAATGATAGTTTGGGGTAGGGTGGGGGTGAAAAATTGGGCCTTTCCTGATTCCGTTTTCCCCGCCTACCTGCTGGTCCAGCCGCAAAGGGCCAGGATGCAAGCCGTGATGTGGACGTGAAGGAGGTCTGAAGACTGCTTTGTCGATGTCTTCTCGCCTTCGGTTTTGCACTTCTCCTCCTCCTCCTCTTCCTCCACCTCCTCCTCCTCAATCAATTGTAAGAGAAAGCTAACCTTCTCCTCCGTCAAGGCCTGTTGAAGCAAGCGCGCTATGGTCAATTACTCAACAGCCCCCCCCTCAAGAAATGGCTATTCTAAATATTATGGGTATTAAAGGCTAAATTGGAACACTGTCATTGAAATTAGGTAAAACTTAAAAACAGGACTTGGATACGTGTAAGTAAAATTGTATTGACAAATGTACTGATCGATTGAGCTATAATTAGAACTGTATGAACCTGAATGTGATATAATAATTAAGGGAAATAGAGAGGGAACTTTTAATGACGCAATCTGAGACATGTACGAAAGATTTTGTTACTGGGCCATTGATTACCCAATCACCACGCTGCTTCCTAAGCATTTGGATGTAAAATTGAAAAATTAATAAAACTTGTTTTTTTAAAAAAATGGCTATTCTTTTGATAGAAGAACACAATTTCAAGCACTTTGGAGTCTAGGGATGGGAAGGCTTGGAACCCTCCCCCCCGAAAAATTGGGGTTTTTTTTTAAAGCCATTTAGAAAAACAAAAACAAAAAAAACCCTCAGTTCCCCCCCCCACACACACACAATTTTTCCAGCTTTTTCCAGGTCTTCCCACTCGGACCCCTGAAAGTGAGCCCGAGAGAGATGCTAATAAACCTGCTGTTCCGGGAATGAAACATTCTGGAGAAATCCAGAATGTTCTGTGGGTCTTTGGACCATGAGGATCCAATGTTCTAAGGAGGGTTTGGCTGTTCTGAGTGGCAAATGGGACTAGAAGACCTCCAAGGTCCCTTCCAAATGTTAATCAGTGTTAATCAGTCATATGATTTTGTGGGATGCAACGCTGCCCTATGATTCTTGCTCTAATTCTTGTACTTTAATGAGTTTGTTTATGAATGGTTTTGTTTGCTTGGTTTTTGATGCTTCAATTATAAACCTGGTTATGTGAGATAGGCAGCTATTTAAATTTAAGAAATGGAATGGAGTGGAATAGAATATAGAATATAAAATAGGGAATAGAATAGAATAGAATATAGAATATAAAATAGGGAATAGAATAGAATATAGAATATAAAATAGGGAATAGAATAGAATAGAATAGAATAAATGGAGTGGAGTGGAGTGGAGTGGAGTGGAGTGGAGTGGAGTGGAGTGGAGTAGAGTAGAGTAGAGTAGAGTAGAGTAGAGTAGAGTAGAAGGAATGGAATGAATGGAGTGGAGTAGAATAGAAGGAATGGAATGGAATAGAATAGAATAGAATAATAAAATACAGAATAGAATAGAATAGAAAATAAAGAATAGAATAGAATAGAATCTGGAAGGGACCTTGGAGGTCATCTAGTCCTGCACCCTGCTCAAGCAGGAGAACCTATACCATCTCAGACAAGTGACTGTCTAGCCTCTTCTTAAAAACCTCCAGTGATGGGACGCCCATGATTTCTGGTGGCAAGCTGTTCCACTGGTTAATTGTCCGGAAGCTTCTCCTTAATTCCAGGTTGCTTCTCTCCTTGGTCAGTTTCCAACCATTTTTTCTCGTCCTTCCCTCTGGTGCTCTGGTGAACAACCTGACCCCCTCTTCTTTGGGGCAGCCCCTCAGATAGTGGATCGCTGCTATCATGTCTCCCCTACTTCTTCTTTTCTTTAGACTAGCCAGACCCATGTCCCACAGCCGTTCTTCGTACGTTTTACCTCCTCGGAACATCAGATCATCGCGATCCGAAAACAGACAGAACATTCTGGATTCTTCCAGAATGTTTCATTTGGCCCGGTTCCCAAGTGCCCAAAGTATGGCCACATGACTGCGCAGGGGAGGAAGGGACAGGGACTCTCGGAACCTGGAGGGCTGTCGGGACTTTGAACGGTCACCAAATAAGTCGAGGACCACCCGTACGCTCTCTCTTGAGGCTGTGGCCAGTTTATCGTCCCCAAATGGGGCAGGCCTTGAATGGGGGGCTGGAGACCCCCTTCCCCTCACCCCTCCTTGACTGGACGACCGAGGGCTTACCACGTTTTTGAGACTGTCTGGCTTCAGGGAAGGCAGCTGAAGTTGCAGCCGACACAGATTCTGGAAGCGTTCGAGGAAGTCGTCAAAAAGAGCCCGGGGCTCCTCCACCAGCAGCACCGAAAACCGATCTAGTTAGTCCAAAAAAAAGAAGCAGTCTGCAGGCAGTCCTCAACTTACGACTGCAAAGGAGCCCAAAATTTAAGGGAGAAATTTGTTGAAGTGAGTTTCGCCCCATTTTACCAGTTTTCTGGCCACAGTGTTACGTTAGTACAGGGGTAGGCAACCTTGGCTCTTTTATGACTGGTGGACTTCAACTCCCAGAATTCCTGAGCCAGCATGAGGGAACTATGGCCCCCTC